AATTCTAACCCTTTTACGCATGCTTACATAAGCATACACTCACACATGTACGTGCACATGTGTACACACGCATGAGCACACACACACACACACATATATATATATATAGAAAACTTTCAACGCGTATTGCGTATATATATATATGACATGACGATATATATTTTTATATATCAAGAACAATATTGTTGAAAAATGTATGACAAAGTGAAAAAAGTTTTATTTTGACGGTGTTTCGTCCCTTGAACTCACACTCTTTGGGTCTTGTCACTGGATCTAACCAACGCCTTTATCCACTGTGAAATGTGTCCTCAAAGGCGTTGGTTAGATCCAGTGACAAGACCCAACGAGTGTGAGTTCAATACCCGGTTAAGGCAGTGGAGAACTTTCAGAGGGAAAATTAACAAGAGATAACTGATAACTGACATCCATTAAACATGGCACGTGGAACTAGAACAGTCTACCCCAGTGAGCGAAATAAAGGGTTCAGTTCGATATTCCAACCATCTGAAGAAGGCCGGAGCGTACAACGGCCGAAATGTTGTGATAAATATGGCGACAAAGATGAGGACAATAATCCGAATAATGTAAATAATGTACATAATACCTCATCTCAGAAATATAGACAGACTCTTTTAAAAGTATTTCAAATAGTTCTCTCTTATATAGATAATATAAGGAATGGACAAATTATATATATATATATATATATATATGTGTGTGTGTGTGTGTGTGTGTGTTAATAAAAATGGAGGGAAAGAAAAGTTTTTAAATTTTTTCTTCTAATGTCCCTAATTATTTTTTTTATTTTTTAAAGACTGAAACAAAAAAGAAAAACTTTTGAGGACACTCAAAGAATTAAATAAAATTCACAAAATATGATTTGTATATCATTTTTATTGAAACATGCATAAAAGAATGATTGCTGTCCAAATATACAGTATATATACACTGTAGATGCTGGCATGTATACATATGTGTGTGTGTGTGTGTGTGTGTGTGTGTGTGTGTGTGTGTGTGTGTGTGTGCCTGTTGCGTCTACGTGTGTGCGTGTGTCGTCATCGGGTGCTGACTCCGCATTAATGTGACTTCCATCGCCAACCCTTCATCAACCCATCCTACCCTCAACTAACTCATCTCCGCTTATCCGTGTTTCGTCCGGATGGCATCCACATGGCGTAATATTGGGTGGGAAACAAGGAAAAAGGACGCTGATGTGCCGCTCTCTCAGATGATATCATCAGCATAAAATTGCTCACGCCACCATTGTTTCAAATGGACTATCTTCACTAACACAACGAATGCCATTAGCAACATCTTAGAATGATAAGTGCCGTTGTATGTGTATGCATTTTTATGTCTATGTGTGCGCGTGTATTTGTATGTGCGTGTGTGCTTAGTGTAGGTTTATATATATGTATTCCTGTGTGTGCATACATAGCGTTCAAACTTGAACAAAAATATCCCACTTATACCGACAGATATACGTGTTATGCGTACGTGCAATATATATATATATATATATATATATATATATATATATATATATATATACAGGGGTTGGACAAAATAATTGAAACAGTTGCAAAATCCACTCCTATATTTCAAAGGCCTATTATATTAAGAACTTTAACTAAAACTTCGTAATTGCAGGTTATATCAATTGTAAATACGTTTATTTATATTTGTCTTTGTCTTATTTATTTTTAGAATTTAGTAAAATTTAAGCTAAATGCGCGACCTCTCAGAGTTCGAAAAAGAGCAAATTGTTGGAGCTCGCATGGCAGGAGCCTCGATCACTAAGGTTGCTGAACTGTTTGGTTTTTCAAGAACACTGATGCAATTCGAGAAACAGGGCAAGACCTCTAGAAACCGTACCAATTCGGGACGGACTTGCAAACTTACTGTCAGGGACTGACGTGCATTGAAACGCAATTTGGCAAAAAATCAGTGGGCATATGCGGCCAAAGTGACTGCTGAGTTGAATAACCATCTGAATAGTTCAGTTTCTACTAAAACTGTTCACCGTGAGCTCCATAAGGCTGCATGTCATGGAAGAGGCGCTGTGAGGAAACCTCTTCTCTCCACTCGCAACATTCAAAAGAGGTTGAAGTGGTGCAGAGATCACAATGCCTGGTCTGCAGACCAATGAAAGCAAGTCATATTCTCAAACAAGTCCAGTTTTTCTCTTTTCCCAACTTCAGGGTAACTTTATGTGTGGAGGCAGCCCAAAGAAGCTTACAAATCTGACTGCCTTCTTCCAACAGTGAAGCATAGAGGTGGAACAGTGATAGTTTGGGCCGTGATATCATGGAAATGTCTCAGTCCAATAGTTGCCCTGCATTGTAGAATCAACAGCAAAGATTACTTGAACATTTTGGGAGATCATGTTCATCCAATGGCCAAGACTTTATTCCCTGATGGTGACTGCATCTTCCAAGACGATAATGCTCCAATACATACCGATCGAGTGGTTAAGAATTGGTATGAAAAGCATGAAAGTGAGCTTGAACACATGGAGTGGCCACCCTAATCTGAAGACATCAATATTATTGAACATTTGTGGTGCATTTTGGAGCAACAAATTAGGAGCCGCTATCCTCCAGTCGTGTCGTAAAGAGCTGGAGAAGGTTTTAATGGAAGAATGACTGAAAATTCCTCTGGATGAAGTCAGGAAGCTGTATGATTCCATTCCTAGACATATTAAAGCTGCCTGTGAGGCCAAAGGAGGACCAACTCCATATTAAATAAATTTTCTTTGAATTTAACAAGTGTTCCAATTATTTTGTCCAACCCCTGTATATATATATATATATATATATATATATATATATATATATAAAGGGTGTTTCATTAAGACGGTTCAAAGTCAGCAGTAAATAAATCAGTGTTATTGGTGAAAATTTATTTATTTCTCTATTGAATCATATTATTTAAGTCATGGCAATTATGAGTTGAAAATAATATCGCCCAAATGTCTGCCAAGGCTTCGGCGGCACACCTCCAATCGATGGTCAAAATTTTTTATGACGTCACTGCATAGTTACCCCTCGATCTCACCAATACGCCTTATTATCTCCTCCTTCAGCTGTTAAATTGTTGGCTTGTTGGCATAGACCTTACTTTTAAGATGACCCCAAAGGAAGAAATCTAAGGGCGTCGAGTCGCACGATCGTGGTGTCCAATTGACTTCGCTGTTTCGAGAGATGATGCGACCTGGGAACTTCTCATTGCATTTGTTTGAACGTCCATTTTAGTAATAGGCTTCGATAACTTTAACACGTTGTTTGATTGTTAATCATTCCATTGTTGAAATTTCCAAAGACTTAAGTTGTTAAATCTGAAAGAAAAAGAAAAAAAATCATTAGACACTTAAACTTAATTAGCATTTAAAATCGGTTCAAGTTATTGGAACGCCTTTTATAATATAACATTCTGTTTCGAATGCGAGGAAAATATATCGGAAGGTTTTTTTGAATTTAGTGAAAAAAATAAGCTGAAATAATAAAAAAGAAAGAAAGAAAAAAAAAAGAGGAGGCGATGCCATTGGCTTGTGTTTAATGCATTTCTGTTTGAACGTTCATTTTCGTAATAGGCTTCGATAACTTTAACACGTTGTTTGATTGTTAATCATTCCATAGCTGAAATTGCCAAAGACTTAAGTTGTTAAATCTGAAAGAAAAAGAAAAAAATCATTAGACACTTAAACTTAATTAACATTTAAAATCGGTCCAAGTTATTGAAGCTATTAGAAAACCCATTATATATATATATATATATATATATATATATATATATATATATATATATATATATATATATATATATATAGAGACAACTGATAAATTATTGAGATTGAGCTTTTTATTTAATTTTTCTTGTGTTCGCATAGGTCTTTTCTTTTCTGAACATAAGGTATGTAAAAATTGTACCAATGTTCTGAACATCCGATCGCTTTCGGCTATTCTTTTAGGAATTATCAAGGATGATTTTTATTTAATTTTTATTCTTTATATACTAGTTCGACATTCTTCACATGCTTCTTGTATCCAACGAAGAGAATTGCTGTTACCTTTTTCTTCGTTTTTTTTTTTTTTATCTTTTCAAATAGAATTTCACATTACGAGAAATTCTGGAGAATTTTACATCTAAAAACCTAGAAAAAAAGAAACTCGATAAGTTTAGTGGGTTTTTTTTAGGCATTAAACACTTTGTGTGATGGACAATTATCACATGCTGTTACACGATTTGGACAATTTTGCTGTTACACGATTTGGACAATTTTGCTGTTACATTCAGTGTCTTATTTCTATAAATATTTTATTTAGTATAGATGCATGTGTTTGAATAGAAAGCCTTGATTTTTGTTTTTAACAGTGAAAGTAATATCTACAAGCATATAGATAGAACGTTTCATTAATTGAAAAGTTCCTCCTGGCTCGGCAAAAATCGAATCTATATTCCGTCTACAGCCTAGATATCAGATCAAGTATTGTCACTAATTACGATGAACGATGTTCCTTCCTAGGAGCTCCGTGCCTTGAGCGCCTATTGGGACTTAAACAACCCAAATCTCAAGTGGAACTCGTACATAGGAGCCGTCGATAAAGATGTTAGAAAAATAGTCGGTTCCAATACCACTCAGGAAACTACCTGATACCTCCTGCTATCATCTACCTGTACAAATGCCATATCAGGCCCCAAAATAGACTACCGCTGCCATACATTGGCAGGAGCTGCTCACTCTTCACTTTTCACACGCGATAGAGTCCAAAAGCGTCTCCGGGTCCTTGAGGGTGACGAACTATTTTCCACCCTACAACCGCCTTCTCACAGATGAAACGTCGCAAGACTCTCGTTGCTCTGTCGCTATTTTACATGGAAAGTGTACAGACGAACTACATTCCTTAGTTCCACCAGTTTTAACCATCACGGATAAAACTCGCCATGCTATGCACATTGTAGTGAACCACATTAATTCCCTTTGTATCTCATCTCACGAGATGAAAATTTTGCATCTATCCTGTTCCCTCTCAAGACTATTTTACATCTTGTTCACTACTGAAGTTAGAAACTTACATCTTGCTCCCTCAAAAGATGATCATTTGACAACTTTTACAATTTTTTTAATTTTACACATTTTTAGCTCTCTCTCTCTCTCTCTCTCTCTCTCTCTCTCTCTCTCTCTCTCTCTCTCTCTGTGGCCTCTAATATTTCAATGATATCTTCTCTGGTCAATTTGTTTTCTCTTATTGCAGCAAATGGCAAAGAAATTCTGACTACTATAATTCCAGTTTACTAAATATCGTGTCTAGTGACTTCATAGTCTGCTCCTCGAATGAGGTTCTGCCCCAAATGATACAACGCAAAAACGCGGGGCCACTTGAAACTCAACCTTTCTCCCTTCTTACCAACTCTACACCCCCCCTTTATTCACTTGCTTTTCTGTCAAACAAGAACTGATAGGGGATGATGTTACTGATGTAGTGAGAAGGTTCAACATCTTTTACTGCTTTTTGGTTACAACGTTTTCAGCTTATTTTATGCTTTGGATGGGCTTTTGAGTTGCGACCCGTACATAGTCAAAGGACAATTTCAGTAGAAGAAGTCTACTTGCTTATAGATATACTGTGTGCCAACCGCCCATAAAAATAGAAAAAGAAAAGATAAGAATATCTATCAATGTCAAATTGTTGCGGCTATCTGGCATACTACGCGAATGGTGTTGTCTCGACTTTCAGTAAAAGAAGATGGCGCTTGGTGACATAACAATTTTTATTCGTCTATATACAACATTTTTCAATAAAAGTGTGCATTAGAACACATTCAGGTTAAGTGAAAAGAATGTCTCTCTGAAAAACACAACGAGATATTACCAGACATGGACAGCGGATGGTGGACATTCTAGACCCGTATATTCTATAAATACTATAGTTCAAATATCCCTTGAAGGTTACCCGGATCAACTGACACCTGTAGAAAGCCGGAATGCACAATGGACGAAATACTGTTACAACAAAAATAAGGATTTTAGTCCAAGTGTAAATAATTTAAATAGTCCCTTAAATCTCTGTATTGAAATGTAGTGAATGCGAAAACTTTTAAGAGAGGGCGACATCTATCAGAGAGGTGAAATTTAAATTTTTATTATTGCATTATACCAAAATTTTAACACATCAGCAGATAGCTATTAATGTCAACAATTGAACACAAATAGTTATTAATTAAAAAAAAAATTAGTAATTAATGTATATTATCCATAACTACAAATACAAGAATGTCGTTTTTGATCAAAGTTAAAAAAATAACCATAAATACGTAAAAAATGTGTATATTGTCGAAAATTCTTTTTTCAACAACATAGCTATTTGTGCTGTGTTATAATGCTTATTACATAAACAATAATAATATTGAATATTTTTTAAACATTAAAGTATATTTAATCACATCTCCCTAATAGCTGTCGCGATCTGTAAAATCATTGCAACAACAAATCTCCTTTAGCCTCAAAAAAGTTCACTGAGATGAATACAAAAATGCGTATAATTAACAGTTTGAAGGCCGGCCTTGAAGCAGAATTGATATGAAATTATGAAGAGACAAAATGGCATGAGCTCGCCCGCAGACAATGACGTTTGCATGGGCGAGAAGAAATCTGTTTTTTTAAAGACTTGCAGAGGAACGTAGCAGTGAGACTTGATTTTTAGCGGGAAGGGATTTTATTTTAGCGGGATTTTTTTTTGGCTGGATTTATTTCTCTTTCCAAACGGAAGCTCTGCAACATCGGACAGCGCAGAGAGATATTTTTAATAATTTACCTTGCGGTAACTTACCATTTCTACAATACAGGGCTCGAGAGTCACTCAGGGTAGAGGATTACTGTTAAAATGGCTATAATGAATGAAATATGAGATACGAAAGTGGAGACTTTCAGAAGTCAAGATCACGAGGATACGGAGAAAAGATGACCATTGGCTTGAACACATTAAGACTGAGATGTTCAGGAAAGCATCCACGTGGGAGTTTTCTCTAGAAAATGGCAGTTTTGGGGGGAAAAAAAGCTGAGTGGAACTTTCTTCTTAACTTTGAAACACGGGGAGAGTGGGGGCGATTCGACTCCGTGGAAGTAGCGTGGTTTCTTAATTTGACTGCGAATGAACAAATCGATTAGGAACGTTTTAATAAGTCAACAACAAAGGATTTAGTAGTCAAAAAATTAAAAAAAAAAACAAATATGTCGCAACTGAAAGACACGGTTTAAAGAAAAAAGATAAAGCGTATATCTTTTCCAGATATGTCCTGTTGTAGAACACGTGTCTCTTGCTCTGTTACTTTTCTTAATCATGATGCGACGTTTACAGATTTTTATCTCTTGACATATGCGCCATGTTTGGTGCCGCGTCTAAGAATTTTACTTTTGTATACGATCAGATAAGACTTGTGCATTTGCTTTACAAAGTGAAAAGGCTCTTTTATCGTTATCGTTTTTTTTCTTCTGGGATTATCTTTCGTTTGTTGAATTCTTTTACTTCGTTTTTCGTGCAAGAAAATTCTTCTTTCAACATTAAAATAAAACTCTCATCTTGTGAACCAATACAATTACAAGCTTTTTAGTGACTGAGTCAGTTTTCTCACCGCTACATCTGATTAATGTTCGTTCCCTAGTCATAGTCCAAAATCGCGAATGCATATTTTCAAGGCAGACAGGTTTTACCTATTTAAATTATCTTATCTTTCTCATTTCCACCCCATTTTGGTATTATACTCTATTGAGCTAAACAGTAATTATCAAAATATGTTTTCGGATCAGCATTTGCTAATGTAGCTTAATAGTTAGCGCCTCGGATTGTAGCCTAAAAGGACTTCCATCGACTTTCAAAAGTTATTCTTTGTTCCAGGTCTTAAAGAATCATACATTCTTTACTTCCTGATTACCATCCGTGGCTAGAAATCAAGAATTAACTCGTGGTCCTGAGATCCATCTTCAAAACAGAACCATCAAAGTGTACAAAAAAGGTTAGAGTTAGATCTACTTACTGATATCTGGAGCAATAGTGAAGACACTCGGGCAATGACTCTCCACAATGAAAAATAAATATGTATCACATTTTACTAAGAATAAATATCTGTCGTTTGTTTAAAACAATCTCAACTTGGCTTGGTTTCATTAACAGAGGACGGAAAGTGTGACACCGAAATCGAGATAGCGAAAGATACCTTCCAAAAGCTGAACAAACTATTAAGAAACATGAAAATTTCGTTCGAAACAAAGAAGAGAATACTGACCTATACAGTCCTCCTATATGGAAGTTAATGCTGGACAATCTCTTCACAAAAGAAGTAAAAACTTGAAGCAACAGAAATGTAATTCTACAGAATGACACTAAGAATATGTAAGCAATGATGAAGTTTTAGAGAAAATGGAAATACAAAGGACACTCATACTTAACATCAGGAAGAGGTAGTTGAAATTTTTAAGAAAGTGGGCTTGGAATATTTGATACTCACAGGACAGATTGAAATGAAAATTTCCGTAGAAACAAAGAAAACATTGCTGAATTGTTACTAACTATCCGTCCTCCTACATAGCAGTGAATGCCTCACGGATGACGAGACTTGCAGCAACAGAAATGTAGTTCTACAGAAGGATACTGAGAATACCATGGAACGAAATCCAGTCAATAAAGTCCCTTCCCTCTAAAAGACAAAGTTTTAGAGAAAATGGAAACAAAAAGGGCACTTATACTTAACAACAGTAAGATAGGTATTCTAGGAAAATAATGAGGAAAGACGGCTTGGAAAATTTGATACTCACCGAACAGATTGAAGGCAAGAAGGACAGGGGAAAACAGCGCATAAAATACCTAATAAGCTTGTGTAAATGGATGGCAGAACAGGGTTTAGGAGAGATAACAAAAAAACAAAATTTACTAAGACCTACGAAAGACATAGAAATTATGGAGAGTCATTATTGGGCAACCAGCCCATCTTGCGCTTTGGCTAGGTGTCCAGAGTAGTAGATCACTCACGTGTCTTTGTTTCGCTCGCCAGCAGTGTCCAACAAAGCGCATTCTGTGCTCGCGTAAGATTGTAGAAATATCAGGGATGGGTCCATAGAGCTGTAATTTAGTTAGATGTCGTCTCCAAGGGATGTTAAGTATAGCTATCAGCATTCAAGTGTAGCTTCCATCAAACTTAGACTCTAGGTTTTAGTTAATGTCCAAGCCGTGGCGCCATACATTAACACCGCCTCTACAGTGGCTTGAGTTTGTCTAGTAGATCAGATTCCCAGATCACATAAAATGGTCCTATCACGATTGCTATTTCATTTTATGTGTTGATATATATTCTGTAGTATTAAATAATCTCAAATACGCAATAATATGTAACTGAAGTAATGATGCTGATTAAATGGTAACCGAAGATTTGAATCTTCATTACTTAACATTTCATCCACTCCAGTATTTCGTCAGTTACTCCCAACCAGACTCTACGTCTGAGGTATTTGAGAAGCTCTCTAGTCATCTCTGCGGCAGTTGTTTATATATCCATCTGTTGAACATTCTCATTCAGGTGTGAAGTCACATACTTCTCCATTCGGTGGCCGCCATTGACCCCAGGTCAACTCTGCAGCTGGCTTCCTCTGACGGTCTGGTGTCGAAATTTGAGTGCAAGGTCTACTCCAATATAATACCACAAACACGTGCACCGGTTTCAAAATAAAGTGTTTATCAACAGACCACAGACAGCATATCAATACACTGTAGATTTTCCTTTGGCAATCAACACAAGCCTGTAATGCATCTATTCGTACATATGGCGGTTTACGTCCATATCACCGAAGTTAAGAAACGTCGGGCCTGGTCAGTATCTAGACGAGTGACCGCCTGGAAATACCAGGTGCTGCAAGTGGGTGGGTGGTGTAACTGATAACGCCTCGGAATCGTTAATTGGAAAACCGACTTCCAATTCCATTCGGGTTCTTTATAGTTACTTACGCGTAAACACCCTTAGGGAAAGGTATAAATCCATCTCCCCCAGCTATGGGTTAATTAGTAGGAATTGTATCAGTAAATCATTATTATCTCAAAAAAAAATCTTACAATCTAAAAATATTTCCTGGCTTTAAATAACCTGCAAAAAGCTGATAATCCGGAGAAAAAACAAATCAATGAATCAATTGTATACATGAAGAATACCATCCATCGATACATTATCCTTTAGATATATTATTTATTTCATGCATCTTACCTCTGTACATTAAATTCAGCAAAAGTTGTAGGTGGGCTAACTAAACGAGTCAGGTGTCGTGCCACCATGTTCCATACATGTTCAATGGGGAAAAGGTCTGGTAATCACGAAGTTGTCGACAAAGAGAAGTTGACGAACATCATGCAGAGCATGTTGAGTAGTACTATTGTCATGTGAGCAGGCATTATCATGATGGGATAGCATGTCGTATTATGGTTGCAAGAATAGCAGCAGAATGGGCTGAACTTTTGGACATACACGGTATTATGGCGAGGCTGACATAAATTAAAACTATCGTTCGCCTTGATGTTTATAGAGGGAGCGTTGAACAGCGTAATGTATATTCAAAAGTGTGTTCATCCTAAAAAGACGTTTTTGAAATATTTCGATATCCTTATTTTTTATACTTTTTAATTTTATTTTTTGCCTACAATAATAATGTTTGACTTTCTTTTTTCTTTACTTTTTACTTTTCTTTTTCTTTTCTTTTCTTTTGTCTTTTCTTTTAGTTTGCATTTTCTTCTCTTTTCATTTTCTTTTCTTTTCATCTTTTCTTTTCTTTTCTTTTTCTTTTCTCTTTCTTTTTTCCTTCCTTTTTGTCTTTTCTTTATTTCTTTTTTGTTTCTTTTCTTTCTTTTTGTTTCTTGTTTTCTCTTTTCTTTTCTTTTTCTTTTCTTTTTCTTTTCATTTTATTTTTATTTTATTTTTATTTTTATTTTCCTTTTTATTTTTTATTTTATTTTCTCTTTTTTGCTTTTTCTTTTTCTTTTCTTTTCTTTTCTTTTCTTTTTCTTTTCCTTTTCTTTTTTCTTTTCTTTTTCTTTTCTTTTTCTTTTCTTTTGTCTTTTTTCTTTTCTTTTGTCTTTTCTTTTTCCTTTTTTCTTTTCTTTTTTCTTTTCTTTTCTGTTTTCTTTGTTTTGGACCCCTCGAAATAAAAGCCTGAAAAAAACTTCGAAATCCTTATAGTCGCCTATTCTTTCGTTTTCTTTTTCTTTTTTCGACAACAGTTTTAAAGAATTAACTTTTTTTTCTTTTCTTTTTTCTCGTGGACCTTTCAATACAAAATGGTGGGATGATGTTTAAGCCTGAAAAAACCCTTTGAAATGCTTTTAGTTGCCTTTTCTTTCTTTCTTACTTTCTTTTTTTCTTTTTTTTTTTCAACTACATTGTTAAAGTATTGACTTTTGTCTTCTTTATTTTCTTGTTTCTCTCGAAACAATAGGTGGGCATGATCTCTAAATATTGAAAGTTTTATATTTTTTATTACACCTCACGGAACAAAAGCCTAAAAACTGTTTGAAATACTTCTAGTCACCTTTTCTTTCTTTCTTTCTTTTTTATTCGTTTATTTTTACAACAGTGTTAAAGTACTGACTTTTTTTATTTTATTTTTCTTAGATACCTCGAAGCAAAATGGAAAGCCAGAAAAGACCCCTTTGAAATACTTCTAGTCCTCTTTTCTTTTTCTTTTTTCTTACTCCTTTACTTATTTCTTTTTAATTTTGTTTACTCGTTTACTTTTAAGGTATTGATTTGACTTTACATTTTTTTTTCTCTTTGTCATTTGGGCATCGCGAAACAAAATGGCGAGATGATGTCTAAGCCTGAATAAACGTCTTTCAAATACTTCTGGACGCCTTTCATTTCTTTCTTTCTTATTTTATTTTTTATTTTCAAAATAAAAATATAGCGCGTTGCTAAGGGCGACGAAGCAGGTCAGTATAAAGAGAGGCGTAGCAAAACGAACCCAACAGAAGATTTTGTTTCATGTCAACGTGACATTTTCTCCAGTGGCGGAAAAATTTTGATGACTGAAACATGGATCATCCGGTAAAGCTACCATTTCTTAGTTTCTCACACACGCACACACACACACACGCACACACACACACACGCACACACACACATACGTACGCTTGTAGAAGGGGCCATTTTAGTTAAAATATATGCATATTAAAATATATATACTGTAAAAATATATATATATAAATATATATATATGTAAGCTTTTAGAAGGAACCTTGTTAATTTTTAATTAATATATATATATATATATATATATATATATATATATATAATAAACCACAATTTACTGTTAGACTATGCTAACCAATATAAAATGTTTAGTAAAAGTGCTGAAAAAATGTAGAGCTTCAATAAACTTAATCGTACAATCATAAAATAGAAATACCATAGCAACTTAAATTTCACCCTTCTCGTTAGACGATCCGTGACTTGAACATTAGAAAGTAACGATACTAATTATATTTTCGAATTTTTCTCTGTGTGTGTGTGTGTAAAAATTCAAATATAAAAGATATAACTGTAAGAACAATAAAATGAATTACAGAAGAAAAAACTTTGCTTTACTAACGCGATTCGTCTCCTGAAGGACATTATCAAGGTAATTTTTATTTTAAACAAAATAAAATCTTCACATTTACCTTGATAAAGTCCCTCGGATAACGAAACGTGTTGGTAAAGAAAAGTTTTCTTTTTATATATATATATATATATATATATATATATATATATATATATATATATATATATATATATATACAGTTGCGCTGATGTGGGTTTGTAACCCTGGGTTTTTTCTGACGATCGCAAAAGGCATGAAGCCCAGGGTCACAAACTCACATCAATCTAACTAAATATATTAACTCTATCACTGATATTGAACGCTTTCAATAAGTACCATACATATATAATATATATATATATATATATATATATATATATATATATATATATATATATATATATAAATATATTATATATATATATATATATATATATATATATATATATATATATATATATATATATATATATATTTGGATAAATATACAACTATATATATATATATGTGTGTGTGTGTGTGTGTGTGTATAACTATCTCAGCCTATTGTCGTACTGCAATTTTTAGCACTTAAAATAACAAAAAGTAAATAAACTCCTTCAAAAGTTGCTGTATGTCTTGTACCATAATAGTTTGGTTGTCTGTATGAGACTAATACGTCTATATTGATCGATTCGTTTTTTTACGACTTATCACCACCTTACAGTTTATTTAAAGCCAGAAAATATTTTAAATTGTAAGAATTTTTTTTGAGATAATAACGATTTAATGATATAACTTTTAGTAAGAAGAGTCGGTTTCATCCCTTTCGCGACGGTATTTGTGTGTGAGTGAATATAACGAACCCAACCGGAATTAACACTACACTTACCCACACATCAAAGCTTTCAGCACCAAGTATATCCCAAGTGGTCACCCAACTAGGTACTGATCAGGCTCAACATTACAACACCCCTACATGACGCACTGATAACACCACAACGAAATATATAAGCTATATCTTTGAATCCCTATTCTTTATCATCTGCAAATTAGCCTCAGTTTTGGGAAAGACAAGTGGAGTGCTTTCTCTTTGCTTTCTCAATTGTTTTGAATTCGGAATTGTTCTAGATTAACTACCATCTAAAGGTAGAGTGTGTACTTTGCTCTGATATATGACCCATAGTAAGGAGTGAGTGAGAGAAAATATAAATGGATGCTTTTCCAAAGAATATTAGTGCGAAAATGTACTATAAGTGAAATATATATTATGATTAAAAATTATTTTCATTTTTAATCATCATGTAAAAAAGAAGTCTGATACAAAAGTATCGGAACTGTTGCTATGGTAACGGAGCTAAAGTATGCAGAGTGAAGCCGGTTGGCACAGGTTGACCTTGAACATTGTCACATATACACACTAAGTTATAACGTTCTTGCTGACATCTATAGCTTGGAAGGAAAGTGTGTAGAGTGTGGTCGTCTCGCCACACCATAAAGGTTCCATCAGCGACTATGGTTTATGCAGCTGTTCTTGGCCAAGATGAAACATTTCCCATATCTCACTCCTTGCAATATTTTTCCTCTTCAAAAATCAAGTCCCACTTAAAAGGGACAAGATTTCAAGATGCTGATGAAATCAAAAAGAATGCATCGATGCAGCCGCTCGCTGTCCCCGAAAAGGAGTCCCAGGAATGCTTCCATTAATAGAAACGAAGCTGGATAAAGTGAATGCACCTTCAGAAGAGGACTATTTCGAAGGAGATTAAGTGCCAAATTGATATGTGTTATAGTTTTCTTTTTTATAACACAAGTCCTAATACTTTTGATCAGACCTCATATATAAGTATGAAAAGAGACATCAGTTGAATATTATTCATTTTTTACCCCTTCCTAAATATTTCATTGCGAAATTATCGCTGCATGTTATACGCCAGTAAATACGCCGTTTTGTGATAAGGTACGGGATTGGAATTTATCACGGAATCTGCAAACAGCGTTTAAACATTAGAAGACTTTGCTTAGATTCACTACGCGCTTATGGTTTTAGGAAAACACGAAGCTACTTTTCCCAACATTGTGCAGCATAAAACACAACTTCAAAATGTACAATATCTGATTTAGCGCAGAGTTCTTGAAAGTGTCGTATGAAATCTCAAGATATTGTAAACATCGCTTCTGATAGTTCTACCTGTGGATAAAGATTTTCTTAGCTTTAGATTCCGTACGTTTAGATGTGTCCTTTCCTTCACAGTAGATGCTGAAACCGTATTGTGTATTCTTGATAGCAGCAATATATTGGATTTTGTTTTTACGCGGAGGAAAAAAACTGTCTAAAACTTTTTGATGTTTACTAGCTAGTAGAAATAAGGTGTCTAGTTCTTGTATAAGTGCTGACATGACTGGATAAAAAAAAATCTAATAATAAGCGTACCTTTCTTAAAAAATAGTCTAGGGATGTCTTCAGCAAGAAGTACCGTTTTGTATTATTGGGTCGGAACAAAAATTCGTAGGTGAATTTCGAAAACAGTATTTAGATATTTTTATACAGATTTATCTAACCACATATTTTGTTCCGCTACCTTTCACCATATTCAAAGGAGCTTCCGGATTCCATCTGTTGCGGGCAAATATGTAACGTTGTGTGTTTCTGTTGGGAGAAAACACGTGTCTCCTGGAATACCTACAACAAACGATCGGACTTCTGTGTGAGTTCGAATACAAAGAAACAAGAACCAATATATGTACAAACAACTGATAATGTATTAACGAGAAAGGCATACAAGTGACAAAGGCAATGATGTGTGTAACAAAAGAATGTGAAAGCTTTTTTGGTCCAAAGGCTGTGAAGTGAGTGAATGTGCGTACGAACGTGTGTTGTGTATATGGTTTATTCATGCGTTTCCCCACGAGAGACATACATATTGACGTGTAAGCGGAAAAAAATATGAAGAGGCTGCCAAAAATTATCGCAGAGTATTTATAATGCCAGAGAGCGTCCTCTAGTAGCGGTTTTAGGAAAGTAAGTGGAGTTAACCCCAAACATCCTCCCAGAACATGAGATCTTTTTGAGTGAACTGGTTTAAGTGGCTTTTACAAGCTTCCAGATAATTGAATCTTCACATTAAGAGCAGACAGTTACTTTCTGGGAAGGTACAATGAGCCATCTTTACTTTTTCTCAACATTTTAGCAATGGATTATATAAATTCCTCTTTTGGTCTGGAGTCATATTGAGTCCCAATAAACACTCAAAGCATGTAGACTCGTTGAGAATGCAAAAGTTCATCGTGACTAGAGATAACTCAGCGTCTGGTTGGTGAGGATGAAGTAATAGTAATTTCGGACAAACAATGTGACGATAATACCAAGAATAAAGCACTAGTATACAGAAGGTCCTCTGTGGCACCATTTAGGGTTGCTAGAAGGAGAAAAAAGAAGGGAAAGAAAAAAAAAGAAAGGCGAGAATTAAAATTAGGTGATAAGAAGCCATCACGAAAAGGACACTACGCGGTGTTATTTTTCTGACAAGGAAAAGTGGTAAAATTTTTATTTCCCATTCTCGAGAAGGTAAAAAAAAGGAAGATACTGGAATTAATCTGATTTAGGTTACGGGGCGGGTGGAAATTCCAGGTTGACCAAATAACCTCAGAGGCAGAATTCTAAATAGATAAACATTTAACTGTGTCGCAGGAATGCCCATTTGAGACCTCCCACAGAATTCTAAAGATATAAAAATTA